TTACTCCCACCGAATAATCATAGTTACTCCCACCGAAGAATCATAGTTACTCCCACCGAAGAATCATAGTTACTCCCCTCCAAAATTCTCTTTACCCTTTTTGCCCTTCTCTTCATTTTTCTTTCTTTTTCTTTCTTTTCCGTCCTTTTTCGTCCTTCTTCGCCCTTTTTCACCGTTTTATGTCCTTTTTCGACTTTTTTCGTCCTCTTTCGTCCATCTTCGTCCTTTTTCGTTCTTAGTATCCTTTTTCGTCCTTTTTCGCCACAGTAGTCATATCCGTTTTCATTTCTTCGATAACTTCAATGGTTTTCCCAGAATCGTCTTTTGAAATGTTCAAAAATATGCAAAATGACCTCAATTTTCAACCAATTTTCAACACAATTTTCGAAATTTCACTTAATACATTTTCTTGCACATTTCGGGCCGCAGAAGCCATATCCGTTTTGATTTCTTCGATAACTCCAATGGTTTTCCCAGAATCGTCCTTTGAAATGTTCAAAAATATGCAAAATGACCTCAATTTTCAACCAATTTTCAACAAAATTTTCGAAATTTCACTTAATACATTTTCTTGCACATTTCGGGCCGCAGAAGCCATATCCGTTTTCATTTCTTCGATAACTCCAATGGTTTTCCCAGAATCGTCCTTTGAAATATTCAAAAATATGCAAAATGACCTCAATTTTCAACCAATTTTCAACAAAATGTTCGAAATTTCTCTTAATACATTTTCTTGCACATTTCGGGCCGCAGAAGCCATATCCGTTTTGATTTCTTCGATAACTCCAATGGTTTTCCCAGAATCGTCCTTTGAAATGTTCAAAAATATGCAAAATGACCTCAATTTTCAACCAATTTTCAACAAAATTTTCGAAATTTCACTTAATACATTTTCTTGCACATTTCGGGCCGCAGAAGCCATATCCGTTTTCATTTCTTCGATAACTCCAATGGTTTTCCCAGAATCGTCCTTTGAAATATTCAAAAATATGCAAAATGACCTCAATTTTCAACCAATTTTCAACAAAATGTTCGAAATTTCTCTTAATACATTTTCTTGCACATTTCGGGCCGCAGAAGCCATATCCGTTTTCATTTCTTCGATAACTCCAATGGTTTTCCCAGAATCGTCCTTTGAAATGTTCAAAAATATGCAAAATGACCTCAATTTTCGACCAATTTTCAACAAAATTTTCGAAATTTCACTTAATACATTTTCTTGCACTATTCGGGCCGCAGAAGCCATATCCGTTTTCATTTCTTCGATAACTCCAATGGTTTTCCCAGAATCGTCCTTTGAAATGTTCAAAAATATGCAAAATGACCTCAATTTTCAACCAATTTTCAACAAAATTTTCGAAATTTCACTTAATACATTTTCTTGCACATTTCGGGCCGCAGAAGCCATATCCGTTTTCATTTCTTCCATAACTCCAATGGTTTTCCCAGAATCGTCCTTTGAAATGTTCAAAAATATGCAAAATGACCTCAATTTTCAACCAATTTTCAACAAAATTTTCGAAATTTCACTTAATACATTTTCTTGCACATTTCGGGCCGCAGAAGCCATATCCGTTTTCATTTCTTCGATAACTCCCATGGTATTCCAAGAATCGTCCTTTGAAATGTTCAAAAATATGCAAAATGACCTCAATTTCCAACCAATTTTCAACAAAATTTTCGAAATTTCACTTAATACATTTTCTTGCACATTTCGGGCCGCAGAAGCCATATCCGTTTTCATTTCTTCGATAACTCCAATGGTTTTCCCAGAATCATCCTCTGAAATATTCAAAAATATGCAAAATGACCTCAATTTTCAACCAATTTTCAACAAAATTTTCGAAATTTCACTTAATACATTTTCTTGCACATTTCGGGCCGCAGAAGCCATATCCGTTTTCATTTCTTCGATAACTCCAATGGTTTTCCCAGAATCGTCCTTTATAATGTTCAAAAATATGCAAAATGACCTCAATTTTCAACCAATTTTCAACAAAATTTTCGAAATTTCACTTAATACATTTTCTTGCACATTTCGGGCGGCAGAAGCCATATCCGTTTTCATTTCTTCGATAACTCAAATGATTTTCCCAGAATCGTCCTTTGAAATATTCAAAAAAATGAAAATGACCTCAATTTTCAACCAATTTTCAACAAAATTTTCGAAATTTCACTTAATACATTTTCTTGCACATTTCGGGCCGCAGAAGCCATATCCGTTTTCATTTCTTCGATAACTCCAATGGTTTTCCCAGAATCGTCTTTTGCAATGTTCAAAAATATGCAAAATGACCTCAATTTTTTACCAATTTTCAACAAAATTTTCGAAATTTCACTTAATACATTTTCTTGCACATTTCGGGCCGCAGAAGCCATATCCGTTTTCATTTCTTCGATAACTCCAATGGTTTTCCCAGAATCGTCCTTTGAAATGTTCAAAAATATGCAAAATGACCTCAATTTTCAACCAATTTTCAACAAAATTTTCGAAATTTCACTTAATATATTTTCTTGCACATTTCGGGCCGCAGAAGCCATATCCGTTTTCATTTCTTCGATAACTCCAATGGTTTTCCCAGAATCGTCCTTTGAAATGTTCAAAAATAGGCAAAATGACCTCAATTTTCAACCAATTTTCAACAAAATTTTCGAAATTTCACTTAATACATTTTCTTGCACATTTCGGGCCGCAGAAGCCATATCCGTTTTCATTTCTTCGATAACTCCAATGGTTTTCCCAGAATCGTCCTTTGAAATATTCAAAAATATGCAAAATGACCTCAATTTTCAACCAATTTTCAACAAAATTTTCGAAATTTCACTTAATACATTTTCTTGCACATTTCGGGCCGCAGAAGCCAAATCCGTTTTCATTTCTTCGATAACTCCAATGGTTTTCCCAGAATCGTCCTTTGAAATGTTCAAAAATATGCAAAATGACCTCAATTTTCAACCAATTTTCAACAAAATTTTCGAAATTTCACTTAATACATTTTCTTGCATATTTCGGGCCGCAGAAGCCATATCCGTTTTCATTTCTTCGATAACTCCAATGGTTTTCCCAGAATCGTCCTTTGAAATGTTCAAAAATATGCAAAATGACCTCAATTTTCAACCAATTTTCAACAAAATTTTCGAAATTTCACTTAATACATTTTCTTGCACATTTCGGGCCGCAGAAGCCATATCCGTTTTCATTTCTTCGATAACTCCAATGGTTTTACCAGAATCGTCCTTTGAAATATTCAAAAATATGCAAAATGACCTCAATTTTCAACCAATTTTCAACAAAATTTTCGAAACTTCACTTAATACATTTTCTTGCACATTTCGGGCCGCAGAAGCCATATCCGTTTTCATTTCTTCGATAACTCCAATGGTTTTCCCAGAATCGTCCTTTGAAATATTCAAAAATATGCAAAATGACCTCAATTTTCAACCAATTTTCAACAAAATTTTCGAAATTTCACTTAATACATTTTCTTGCATATTTCGGGCCGCAGAAGCCATATCCGTTTTCATTTCTTCGATAACTCCAATGGTTTTCCCAGAATCGTCCTTTGAAATGTTCAAAAATATGCAAAATGACCTCAATTTTCAACCAATTTTCAACAAAATTTTCGAAATTTCACTTAATACATTTTCTTGCACATTTCGGGCCGCAGAAGCCATATCCGTTTTCATTTCTTCGATAACTCCAATGGTTTTACCAGAATCGTCCTTTGAAATATTCAAAAATATGCAAAATGACCTCAATTTTCAACCAATTTTCAACAAAATTTTCGAAATTTCACTTAATACATTTTCTTGCACATTTCGGGCCGCAGAAGCCATATCCGTTTTCATTTCTTCGATAACTCCAATGGTTTTCCCAGAATCGTCCTTTGAAATATTCAAAAATATGCAAAATGACCTCAATTTTCAACCAATTTTCAACAAAATTGTCGAAATTTCACTTAATACATTTTCTTGCACATTTCGGGCCGCAGAAGCCATATCCGTTTTCATTTCTTCGATAACTCCAATGGTTTTCCCAGAATCGTCCTTTGAAATGTTCAAAAATATGCAAAATGACCTCAATTTTCAATCAATTTTCAACAAAATTTTCGAAATTTCACTTAATACATTTTCTTGCACATTTCAGGCCGCAGAAGCCATATCCGTTGTCATTTCTTCGATAACTCCAATGGTTTTCCCAGAATCGTCCTTTGAAATGTTCAAAAATATGCAAAATGACCTCAATTTTCAACCAATTTTCAACAAAATTTTCGAAATTTCACTTAATACATTTTCTTGCAAATTTCGGGCTGCAGAAGGCATATCCGTCTTCATTTCTTCGATAACTCCAATGGTTTTCCCAGAATCGTGCTTTGAAATGTTCAAAAATATGCAAAATGACCTCAATTTTCAACCAATTTTCAACAAAATTTTCGAAATTTCACTTAATACATTTTCTTGCACATTTCGGGCCGCAGAAGCCATATCCGTTTTCATTTCTTCGATAACTCCTGTTCGTGGTTTTCATTCGCCGTGATTCCGCTTTGTTGGGTGGCGAGAATAAAAAACAACACTTGTGGTTTTTGTTGATTTATTTACACGGAACTTACTTCGGCAACGGACACAAGACAACAGATGAAGTATATACAAAATACGGGCCTTTTATACCCAAAAAGGGAGCCGAGCTACCTGTTCTTACAATGGATTTAACTGTACATTTTTCCTAGCCAGGTAGCGCACCTGCAACTACTGTACCCTTTCTAGTCGGCTACCTAAACTTCCTGGAAATATACTTTCCATACCGGCCACCTTGAAGACCCTAACTTCAATTACAAGATTCATATGATATTATTACATTGACAGGAGATTACAATTTGTAAACCTGAATTAAGCATTTGATTGGTAAAAAATAAATCATATTATTTTTTACGTTAAATAAAATGGCATTAAGATACAAGTTTAAATAATATAAACAACGGGATCGACAATTTTTCAAGTGTTTAGCTTAAACTAAAATGCACTCCGCTACGTTGCCCGCTGATTTGGGGCGCACCCTTTGAAACCGCGCACTTTGGATTAGGGGCGCATTTTACATAGGCAGAACGCATAACTTTCGTACTGCTCTTTTCACAACACCGGCACTGGTTTTTATGGACACCACGCGAACGACGCCGTCGGTACCAGGGTGGACGTCCAGGATTCGGCCCAATCTCCACTGCAACGGCGGGGTGTTTTCTTCAACCAGGATGACCATGGTGTTGACGGCGATTGCATCAGGCTGCGTAGCGAATTTTTGATTTCGAAGGGAGTACTGAGTTAGGTACTCTTTTTTCCAGCGATGCCAAAAGTCCTGACGAAGGCGCTCGATTTTTTGCCACTGTGATAAACGATTAACTTTGAGTGGCGTGATGTCCTGCTCATCAATGGCTGTGAGTGGTTCGCCAATTAGGAAGTGACCAGGGGTTAGAGGTTGAAGGTCATTGGGGTCGTTACTCAGGGGAGTAATTGGTCGGGAGTTCAAAATCGCTTCAACACGAGTTAAAAAGGTGTACAGCTCTTCATAAGTTAAAACCATTGAATTCAATGAACGTTTGATATGATTTTTAACAGATTTTATGTTGCCTTCCCAAAGGCCGCCCATGTGTGGTGATTTTGGAGGAATAAAATGCCATTTTATTCCTTTATTTGCAAGATTCTGAATGACATTTCTGAAAGATTGCGATTTCAAAAATTCTGTTAGTTCATTCAATTTATTTCGAGCACCTACAAAGTTCGTAGCATTGTCCGAATACATATGATATACGTGACCACGCCTGGCCACTAGTCGATTAAAGGCTGCTAAAAATGATTCGGTTGTCAGATCGTTTACAAGTTCCAAATGGATCGCTTTGGTTGAAAAACATACGAATAGGCAAATGTACGCCTTGACATGACGCTTGCTACGACCACGACATTCCTTAATTAGCAGAGGTCCGGCGTAATCTACGCCACTGACTAAAAAGGGACGCGTAGGTTCAAGTCTTGATTTAGGCAAGTCACCCATTGGTGGGAATAAAGGTTTTGGGTTTGTTCGAAAACAATTAAAACATTTGTGTAACACACCTCTGACAACGGTTCTAGCAGCAGGTATCCAAAATATTTGTCTAATAGAAGCTAATGTACCTTGAAGTCCTGCGTGCAATTGTTTTTCATGTTCGTACTGAACCAAAGTTTTTGTGATGTGATGACCTTTAGGTAATAAAATCGGATGTTTTATGTCATAAGATAGTGACGATTTTTTAAGTCGCCCTCCTACGCGAATTAATTGGTTTGTTTCATCGAAAAATATGTTTAGACTTAGCAATCGTGATTTTTTGTCGATCGCTTGGTTTTGTTGAAGACAATTATATTCATTTTGAAAAGCTGTTTTTTGTAACTGACGTGCGATAGTGAATTTTGAATTTTGAAGTTCTTCTGTTAATAAATGGTTAGCCAAGTTTTTAGAATTTGGATTTTTGCAATTATTGATGAATCTTAGTACCCATGAGACCACTCTTTCTGTTTTTTTATAGGATGAAAATTTGGTTAAAATTGGCAGCTCTACTGTTGGTGTTTCGGATGATAATAACGAAATTGTACGTCGTTCTGGGGTTTCTATGGTTTCTAAATTGATATTTTGTATTGGCCATTCGGAATAGTTTTGATTTAACCAGTGTGGCCCGTGCCACCATAAGGAGTTATTTTTTAAGTTCTCCGGTGTACAACCTCGACTAATTATATCGGCGGGGTTGTCTTCACTTTTGACGTGATACCAACCGTCTTTAGGGCTAAGTGTTTGTATTTCGGAGATGCGATTCCCTACAAATGTTTGGTAGGACGCTGGAGTTCCCTTAATCCACGCTAAGACAATAGTGGAGTCGGACCAGAAATATTTTCGATTTATTTCCATATGTAAAGCTTGCGAAACAACGTTCATTAGGCGAGTTAATAACAACGCTGCTGAGAGTTCAAGTCGTGGTAACGTGATTGTTTTAAGTGGTGCGATTCTGCTTTTGGCTGCTATTAAATGAGTTTGACTGTTTTCGGATGAATCCGTAACCCTGAGATAAACCGCTGCCCCGTATGCGACTTGGGACGCATCTCCAAAGCCATGCATTTCGATTGCAATACGGTTAATCTGAATTATATTGCGTGGAATGTTAATTTGATTTAAACTACCGAAAGTTCTTAAAAGATTTTGCCATGTTTGTTGTATAGTTTCGGGAACAGGCTCGTCCCAACCGATTTTTAACATCCAGAGCCTTTGGATCACTATTTTTGCCGTAACAATGACTGGGGCAATTAAACCTAAAGGGTCGAATATTTGTGCGGTTTTCGATAAAATTTCACGTTTTGTTATTTGATTTGAAACATTATATTCAAAATCCCTGACTGAATAATTTAAAATGTCGTGATAAGGATTCCACAACAATCCTAAAGGTTTTGTGTATTCGCCTTTGTCCAATCGGATGTTTAAATTTTGTTCATGACTAAGTGTGTCAGGAATTAGCTCAGAATGATTGGAGGCCCATTTCCGTAGCGAAAATCCTCCATGTTTTAAGATTTCTATAATTTGATCGCGAATTACGATAAGTTCCTCCACCGAATTATGTCCCGTGAGAAGGTCATCGACGTAGAAATCTCTTTGGATGATTTTCGCGGCCTCTGGATATTGGGATTTGAACTGTAAGGCCAATTCGTGCAGGCACCTGATCGCAATAAAACTAGCCGGTTTTGTTCCGTACGTTAAAGTGGTTAACCGAAAAGTCTTTAATTCATCCTGAATGTTATCTCTCCAAAAAATACGTTGATAGTCTGTATGCTCAGGATGCATTAGTATCATGCGGTACATTTTCGTTATGTCGCCACTTAAAACGTATTTGAAAGTTCGAAACCGTGTTAATATTGCAAAAAGATCGTCTTGTATTGTAGGACCTGCTAAAAGATTGTCGTTGAGGGAAAGTCCGCTTTCGGTTTTTGATGATGCGTTAAATACTACCCGCAATTTGGTCGAGGTGGATTCTTTGAACACCGCGTGATGTGGCAAATATGTGACCCTTTGATTTTCGATTTCATTAGGAGGAACTTCTTCCATATGGTTTAATAGTTTATATTCGCGCATAAATTTTGAATAATCAGCTTTGAGGTCTGGTTTTTTTACAAGTTTTCGTTCAAGATTATAAAATTGCCTTAATGCATTTTTGCGATTTGAATCAAGAATTGGCGGATTATTAACAAATGGTAATTTAACTATAAAACGGCCATCAGCTGCCCTATTCGTTGTTAATTTATAATGATTTTCAGATTTAAGCTCTTCGTCAGTGAGCCTCGTGCAGACGGTTCGGCATTGTTCTAATTCCCAAAATTTTTCTACCTGTTTTTCTAAGACGGATGTTAGGGTAATGCTTAAGCCGGATGACGTATTTAGATTACCTGAATGCGGAACGTTCAAGGATCCTCCGACAATAAAACCTAACTGAGTTGCCTGCAATTTAAGTTCGCCAGCGGGCGAATTTTCGTTTGGACACAAAAGTTCCCAAAACAGACCGGCACCAATGAGGATATCAATTGGTCCAGGATCGTAAAACATAGGATCTGCTAATAGTTTATCGTTTGGAATAACCAGATGTTTTGGATCTATTCGCGCTAACGGCAGATTTTCAGTGATTTGATCCAAAATTAAACAATTCATGTTTGCCGAAAACTTCTCATAACGCGATTTTATTTCTACGTTCGTCGAATATTTTATGTTAGATTTGGTTTTTCCGATACCGCCGATATTTATATGTATTGGATTTTGTTTTAAACCTAATTTTTTGCATAGCGATGTAGTGATGTAATTACTCATGCTTCCCGAATCTAAAAGAGCTCTGCATTGTATGTATTTGTTTTGTGCATTTTTAATTAGGATTAGAGCTGTTGATAGAATTACAGTGTCCTTTAAATTCAATAATGAATGATTTACAACCGAATTTACGTGCTGAGTTTCGCTGTTTTCGGGTCCATCGCGGTGCAAAAGTGTATGATGTTTTTCTCCGCATTCGCGACATCTTGATTTTGAAAAACAAGTCTGTGTTTTATGATTGCTTCGAAAACAGTTAGTACATAAATTCAATTTTTTAGTGAAATTAAATCTTTGTTGCGAGCTTAAATTTCGAAATTCTGGACAATGATATATACTATGAATTTTATCACAGTAAAGGCAATTACTGTCTTTGTTTGTAACTACATGAGCTACCGCCCTTGGTTTTTTGTTAATATTTTGGTTTGCATTAGAAGTTTGAGGCGTGTTCGTTTTATTATTAATTAAACTGATTGATTCTAACGTTCTATACCGTTTTTCTAAGTATATGATTAACGATGAATAGGTCGGAACATCTTTGTCCAACGTAGCTTGCCAGTCTCTAATTGTGACATAGTCTAATTTTTCGATTATGATTGGGACGATTAGCGCGTGCCACTCGTCTATTTTAATATCTAATTGTTTTAAGGCTGTGACATTTCTGATTATAGTATCTAAAAGTTCGCGAATTGCATAATGTGACGCTTTAGACAAACTAGGTAGTTTTAATATGGATAAAATATGATCCTGTACGATTAGTCGCGTGTTTTTAAATCTGCTTTCGAGAATTTTCCACGCTTCTTGATAATTTTCGTCGGATGCCTCTAACTGTTCGATTGACCTTTTTGCTTCACCTTCTAAACACGATCTTAAATGCTGGAACCGTTGACAGTCGGTTAGTTTGTAAGAATTGTCTTCGATAATTGACTTGAACGTGTTAGTGAATGTTAACCATTCTTTATAACAACCCGAAAATGGTTTAATATTAATGGGTGCGATTGGAGGAAGATGTGCAAAGGTTGCGTGATTACCTGAATTAGACGTTTGTGCGTCGTCGCGACTTTCAGTTTTTGATTCTATTGTAGCTATTATTTCGCAATATTTATTTTCGATTTCTTCGCGATATTCTAAATGTTTTTCGACAAGCGCCTTGTCAGATCTATCTAATAACAAGTCGATTTCATCCTGTATACTGTTGTATTCTTGAAATGCTTGATTGGCTAATGTTACGCGCGTTTTTAATAAATGAATATTAGAGTTTGCATTGAATGAATTAACAAAAGTTTGAATTCGTGTAAATTTTGACTTGATCGTGGTTCTTTTAACGATTAATTGATCTAAAGTGGGCGCCATTTCCTAACTGATTTATGATTAAAAAAGTGTGTTTTTTGGTTGTAATAAGGATTGGAAAGGAAACGAACCATTCACCTGATACTTGTTGCTCTTGATATGTTGATGTGCCCGTTGTATGTTCACGTGTTGCGTATCACTTAGTTATGATGTCGCGATATTACTGATCGAATCACTAAATTCGTGTATTTACACATCCGGCTCGAAGGACCATATGTTCGTGGTTTTCATTCGCCGTGATTCCGCTTTGTTGGGTGGCGAGAATAAAAAACAACACTTGTGGTTTTTGTTGATTTATTTACACGGAACTTACTTCGGCAACGGACACAAGACAACAGATGAAGTATATACAAAATACGGGCCTTTTATACCCAAAAAGGGAGCCGAGCTACCTGTTCTTACAATGGATTTAACTGTACATTTTTCCTAGCCAGGTAGCGCACCTGCAACTACTGTACCCTTTCTAGTCGGCTACCTAAACTTCCTGGAAATATACTTTCCAACTCCAATGGTTTTCCCAGAATCGTCCTTTGAAATGTTCAAAAATATGCAAAATGATATCAATTTTCAACCAATTTTCAACAAAATTTTCGAAATTTCACTTAATACATTTTCTTGCACATTTCGGGCCGCAGAAGCCATATCCGTTTTCATTTCTTCGATAACTCCAATGGTTTTCCCAGAATCGTCCTTTGAAATATTCAAAAATATGCAAAATGACCTCAATTTTCAACCAATTTTCAAAAAATTTTCGAAATTTCACTTAATACATTTTCTTGCACATTTCGGGCCGCAGAAGCCATATCCGTTTTCATTTCTTCGATAACTCCAATGGTTTTCCCAGAATCGTCCTTTGAAATGTTCAAAAATATGCAAAATGACCTCAATTTTTTACCAATTTTCAACAAAATTTTCGAAATTTCACTTAATACATTTTCTTGCACATTTCGGGCCGCAGAAGCCATATCCGTTTTCATTTCTTCGATAACTCCAATGGTTTTCCCAGAATCGTCCTTTGAAATGTTCAAAAATATGCAAAATGACCTCAATTTTCAACCAATTTTCAACAAAATTTTCGAAATTTCACTTAATACATTTTCTTGCACATTTCGGGCCGCAGAAGCCATATCCGTTTTCATTTCTTCGATAACTCCAATGGTTTTCCCAGAATCGTCCTTTGAAATATTCAAAAATATGCAAAATGACCTCAATTTTCAACCAATTTTCAACAAAATTTTCGAAATTTCACTTAATACATTTTCTTGCACATTTCGGGCCGCAGAAGCCATATCCGTTTTCATTTCTTCGATAACTCCAATGGTTTTCCCAGAATCGTCCTTTGAAATGTTCAAAAATATGCAAAATGACCTCAATTTTCAACCAATTTTCAACAAAATTTTCGAAATTTCACTTAATACATTTTCTTGCATATTTCGGGCCGCAGAAGCCATATCCGTTTTCATTTCTTCGATAACTCCAATGGTTTTCCCAGAATCGTCCTTTGAAATGTTCAAAAATATGCAAAATGACCTCAATTTTCAACCAATTTTCAACAAAATTTTCGAAATTTCACTTAATACATTTTCTTGCACATTTCGGGCCGCAGAAGCCATATCCGTTTTCATTTCTTCGATAACTCCAATGGTTTTCCCAGAATCGTCCTTTGAAATGTTCAAAAATATGCAAAATGATATCAATTTTCAACCAATTTTCAACAAAATTTTCGAAATTTCACTTAATACATTTTCTTGCACATTTCGGGCCGCAGAAGCCATATCCGTTTTCATTTCTTCGATAACTCCAATGGTTTTCCCAGAATCGTCCTTTGAAATATTCAGAAATATGCAAAATGACCTCAATTTTCAACCAATTTTCAAAAAATTTTCGAAATTTCACTTAATACATTTTCTTGCACATTTCGGGCCGCAGAAGCCATATCCGTTTTCATTTCTTCGATAACTCCAATGGTTTTCCCAGAATCGTCCTTTGAAATGTTCAAAAATATGCAAAATGACCTCAATTTTTTACCAATTTTCAACAAAATTTTCGAAATTTCACTTAATACATTTTCTTGCACATTTCGGGCCGCAGAAGCCATATCCGTTTTCATTTCTTCGATAACTCCAATGGTTTTCCCAGAATCGTCCTTTGAAATGTTCAAAAATATGCAAAATGACCTCAATTTTCAACCAATTTTCAACAAAATTTTCGAAATTTCACTTAATATATTTTCTTGCACATTTCGGGCCGCAGAAGCCATATCCGTTTTCATTTCTTCGATAACTCCAATGGTTTTCCCAGAATCGTCCTTTGAAATGTTCAAAAATATGCAAAATAACCTCAATTTTCAACCAATTTTCAACAAAATTTTCGAAATTTCACTTAATACATTTTCTTGCACATTTCGGGCCGCAGAAGCCATATCCGTTTTCATTTCTTCGATAACTCCAATGGTTTTCCCAGAATCGTCCTTTGAAATATTCAAAAATATGCAAAATGACCTCAATTTTCAACCAATTTTCAACAAAATTTTCGAAATTTCACTTAATACATTTTCTTGCACATTTCGGGCCGCAGAAGCCATATCCGTTTTCATTTCTTCGATAACTCCAATGGTTTTCCCAGAATCGTCCTTTGAAATGTTCAAAAATATGCAAAATGACCTCAATTTTTTACCAATTTTCAACAAAATTTTCGAAATTTCACTTAATACATTTTCTTGCACATTTCGGGCCGCAGAAGCCATATCCGTTTTCATTTCTTCGATAACTCCAATGGTTTTCCCAGAATCGTCCTTTGAAATGTTCAAAAATATGCAAAATGACCTCAATTTTCAACCAATTTTCAACAAAATTTTCGAAATTTCACTTAATATATTTTCTTGCACATTTCGGGCCGCAGAAGCCATATCCGTTTTCATTTCTTCGATAACTCCAATGGTTTTCCCAGAATCGTCCTTTGAAATGTTCAAAAATATGCAAAATGACCTCAATTTTCAACCAATTTTCAACAAAATTTTCGAAATTTCACTTAATACATTTTCTTGCATATTTCGGGCCGCAGAAGCCATATCCGTTTTCATTTCTTCGATAACTCCAATGGTTTTCCCAGAATCGTCCTTTGAAATGTTCAAAAATATGCAAAATGACCTCAATTTTCAACCAATTTTCAACAAAATTTTCGAAATTTCACTTAATACATTTTCTTGCACATTTCGGGCCGCAGAAGCCATATCCGTTTTCATTTCTTCGATAACTCCAATGGTTTTACCAGAATCGTCCTTTGAAATATTCAAAAATATGCAAAATGACCTCAATTTTCAACCAATTTTCAACAAAATTTTCGAAATTTCACTTAATACATTTTCTTGCACATTTCGGGCCGCAGAAGCCATATCCGTTTTCATTTCTTCGATAACTCCAATGGTTTTCTCAGAATCGTCCTTTGAAATATTCAAAAATATGCAAAATGACCTCAATTTTCAACCAATTTTCAACAAAATTGTCGAAATTTCACTTAATACATTTTCTTGCACATTTCGGGCCGCAGAAGCCATATCCGTTTTCATTTCTTCGATAACTCCAATGGTTTTCCCAGAATCGTCCTTTGAAATGTTCAAAAATATGCAAAATGACCTCAATTTTCAACCAATTTTCAACAAAATTTTCGAAATTTCACTTAATACATTTTCTTGCAAATTTCGGGCTGCAGAAGGCATATCCGTCTTCATTTCTTCGATAACTCCAATGGTTTTCCCAGAATCGTGCTTTGAAATGTTCAAAAATATGCAAAATGACCTCAATTTTCAACCAATTTTCAACAAAATTTTCGAAATTTCACTTAATACATTTTCTTGCACATTTCGGGCCGCAGAAGCCATATCCGTTTTCATTTCTTCGATAACTCCAATGGTTTTCCCAGAATCGTCCTTTGAAATGTTCAAAAATATGCAAAATGATATCAATTTTCAACCAATTTTCAACAAAATTTTCGAAATTTCACTTAATACATTTTCTTGCACATTTCGGGCCGCAGAAGCCATATCCGTTTTCATTTCTTCGATAACTCCAATGGTTTTCCCAGAATCGTCCTTTGAAATATTCAAAAATATGCAAAATGACCTCAATTTTCAACCAATTTTCAAAAAATTTTCGAAATTTCACTTAATACATTTTCTTGCACATTTCGGGCCGCAGAAGCCATATCCGTTTTCATTTCTTCGATAACTCCAATGGTTTTCCCAGAATCGTCCTTTGAAATGTTCAAAAATATGCAAAATGACCTCAATTTTTTACCAATTTTCAACAAAATTTTCGAAATTTCACTTAATACATTTTCTTGCACATTTCGGGCCGCAGAAGCCATATCCGTTTTCATTTCTTCGATAACTCCAATGGTTTTCCCAGAATCGTCCTTTGAAATGTTCAAAAATATGCAAAATGACCTCAATTTTCAACCAATTTTCAACAAAATTTTCGAAATTTCACTTAATATATTTTCTTGCACATTTCGGGCCGCAGAAGCCATATCCGTTTTCATTTCTTCGATAACTCCAATGGTTTTCCCAGAATCGTCCTTTGAAATATTCAAAAATATGAAAATGACCTCAATTTTCAAAATTTCGAAATTTCACTTAATACATTTTCTTGCACATTTCGGGCCGCAGAAGCCATATCCGTTTTCATTTCTTCGATAACTCCAATGGTTTTCCCAGAATCGTCCTTTGAAATATTCAAAAATATGCAAAATGACCTCAATTTTCAACCAATTTTCAAAAAATTTTCGAAATTTCACTTAATACATTTTCTTGCACATTTCGGGCCGCAGAAGCCATATCCGTTTTCATTTCTTCGATAACTCCAATGGTTTTCCCAGAATCGTCCTTTGAAATGTTCAAAAATATGCAAAATGACCTCAATTTTCAACCAATTTTCAACAAAATTTTCGAAATTTCACTTAATACATTTTCTTGCACATTTCGGGCCGCAGTAGCCATATCCGTT